GTTGGTACTTATAGGCTATATGATGGCGACACTCACCGCATCATTTTTTTTATAATTATTACTTGAAAGCTATACACTTGATTGTGTGTGTGTTTTTTTTTTATAATAAAATATCAGCTTCAGCCAATGGCCGCTATAAGATGGGTTTTAAAATTTATTATGGAACTGCAGTGCGTCTGTGGACCGCTGTTTTCTCTATTGAAAATTGGGAAATATTTGAAAACACACACCCACATCTAAAGCTGTATTATGGAGGGATTTACAAAACAACTAAATCGTTAAGTATGAGTAAAATATAATAGTTATAATGTATTGTGGTGATAGATGAACACAAAATAATAATAATTACCCGCTATAATACTAAGCGCAGCTAAGCATTTGTGCTTTGCCTTACTTACTGTATAACAATAATATTTGATACAATTATAGGATAGCGAAAAAGTCATAATTAATATAATAGTCATAACTAGGTATTAATATTATAATGATTAACAATATTGTCCTATATAGGTTATGCCTATTACAATATAATAGTATAAGTTGAAACGGGTTGCATATTTTTTAAATGTAATTTTTTTCTTACTGTGCCGAAACGGTGAAATGTGAATTGCCGCAGTTCCGAATCAGAACTTTTTTTTAGAACTTCTGTTAGTGTTGTGATTGGTGGCGTTTGAGAGTGAGCATAGTAAAGAAAAAAGAAAAATCATAATATCACTTTGGTACTGCAAATGTTTCTGTCGATAAATGATTAATGGGTTATGGACTTACACTCGGTTTTGTAATTTTTAGTGCTATCATATTATATTATAGTGTCGTCGGTATTATGATGAAAACATTATATTATTATTGTTTACAGTTGAATAATAATTTTTTTTGTGTAGGATATACAAGCAGCGACTATACGGTTTAGACAAATGTTCATGTCCATATCAATATGTCAATAGTTGTCACTACTTATATTATTATATAATAATAGTATTTAACTTTAAATGGGCAGAAAGCAATTGCTCATGGTATTGTTTTATCATACTTTTTTTATTACAATTTCGGTATTCCAATGTGACTTTATTTTTGCAAATCGTTATCCAAGGTTAGGTTGCATAATATACAGCAGTAGTAAAAGGAATTAAAATAATTTTATGCGTGTACTTAAAATATGTATTTCTATATAAATTAGTAGATATACATATTATATTAAAAGTTAAAACGCGTGTAACCGTAATATAACTTTAAATATTTTAATGCACACACGTAAATATTATGTACTCGAGCATTTAATTGAATACAATATACGCACGCATGTACGTAACGTTTTATAGTGTATTAGTGGTAATAAATACATTTTACATCCCGGCCAGTACTCATCCATTAATAATAAAAACCTTCGTATATGACGGTAATCCAGCCTGAATGATTACGCGTTTTATTATTTATGAGTAAATAGGTATATAATTTTTATCGCTGTTTTAAAAAGGTTTCAAATTGTCAACGAAATAATATTTTTTTTTCTTCATATTGTTTAAAATAATTAATTAACTGCTTTAACTATTAAAGATATTCTTGAATATATAATATTTTGTTAATGTCAAAATACAAATATTTGAATTTCGGAAAATAATATCATGACATATATACCTAACTATTTATCACATATTATATTAAACAAGTTTCAAAAGTATAAGTAATATAGTATAATATAGTTTGATAAAAATGTCTGTTTTGTACATAGACAGTATATTAATAAACTATCGCTTCAAATGCTGCGGGACAAGTACATAGGTATTCCTGATTTAACCAACGATTGAATAGTTTAACTTTAGGTACATCGTTACGATTAACCTTATTTGTAGTTATGTATTATTATTTATTTCAATGGATTTGAAATGAAAAACAAAACGCATAGAGAGCGAGTTATCAATTGTATAGAGGTTAGGTGTAACCGTGTAGGTACCTCTTTGTGCACAAATAACATTATACATTTGCCGTTAATTTAATCAAGTGAAACGTTACATGCGTTTAATACGACTGATCAATATACACAACCCTGCCCGAGATTAAAGGTATATAACCTAAATAGAATAGTCGAATAGGCACACTATAATATATTATCTTGCACGATGATTTACTTTATTAATTATCGGTTGTTGTGTTTTTTAAGCAATGACACAATTTACTTTGTTTTCCGTTCAAAAAGGATTTCGCAGAGCCCCGGAAATCGTAACAATAATATTTTGCCTATTCCGCGGAGAACCAGATTTTTAGATCTCAAACAGTTCAATGATATCGTGATTTTTCGAACCGGTGGTGGCCCGATAAACTATTGTCGAGGCCCTCGCTGCCTGGCTCGGGAAACCAGAATCGGTCCACGATTTTTCCGGGAAAAATAAAACGGCTTCAAACCAGCCGCATAATAATATCATAAATTTCATTTCGCGTGTACACCCAGCTAATTTCCCGGCATTTCGATTTCCCCTCGATGAGCTGCTGCTGGAATCATAATAAAGTAGCGGGTAATAAAAATATAACGAGCGACGCCGCCGCCGCCGCCGCCTTTGGGATATCGTCATCATCTCCGGCGGTGAAAATGGCGAGGCGAAAACGGTCGGAGGAGGGTGTGTCCCGGAGAAGGGTTTGGCGGGGCCAAAGCGCGTTATACGCGTTCGCACACACACACACACACACACACACACACACAAATAAAATGATTATACACATACATATATACTTATATATATATATATATAATATATATATATATATTTATACGAGCGGAGACGGTTTAAATGCTTTTAACGGTGCGCTGTTTACGGCACACACCGCCGCCGCCCCCTCGGGCGCGACGAGGAAAGTTTGTTACGCCCGCGCCAGCGCCATTATCGGACGATTAAATATTAATTTTAAACTAAACTTTACCCAAGTCAAAACTGTTTAGCTTAAAGTTTCAACAAACACGCGCGCACACACGGAGCTGTATATTATATAATATATTATGGCGCAGTGCAGGTGGTTCGTATAATGTTCTTCCGGGTAGACGATGCGATGATGATAATAATAATAACATTATTATTATATTCCTACACGCGCGGTGTGCAGGATGACGAGCATATAGCTGTAGATAGTGGATCCTGCAGGATTCAGGACGGAGCTGGAGAGGAAGTCGTTTATGTATACCACGTTATGTACTTTCACCCACGCGTAGATGACGGCAGTCATGATAACATAATATTATTATTTACTTCGTAGGTACCTACTCGTATATGTTATTATTACGTAGGACGTATATTTATAGGCATGTCAATACATATATGTAATTGAATAATAGGTATAATGCGTAGTCCACTACGTCGTCACAATGATCACAGCAAACTTCGGCTAAAAAGAATATTGTTATGGTTCTTAAAAACAACACTTACGTATTCATATATCACTCCATTACTGACAATAGGAAGACTGATTTTTTACTTGTTTTTATTCAACGTATACGATCAATATTGTTATTATATGTATAAAGTGCTTTAATATAATATAATATACTTAGTTATGTTTTCTATATTAAATTTGTTTTCCTTCCGCTGCACTGCTAATGAATTGATTGCATTAAATTCACTCGCGCTGTTGCTTCTATACAATCTCTTCGGGAAATAAAACGTATATGACGATCTATTTTTTGTAAAATTATGCTCAATTTTTTTACTTCAATATGTTTGTATGAGTACGTGAAATGTATACTATTGGCCGTGCACCTTTTGTTCAAACGCACATAAATAGTGAATCCGCATTCACAGTCTGAATAACAAGATGAACCCCTTCCCCGCGCTCGTATAGGTAGTATTATTGTTATTATTGACTGTAAAACGTCCAACGAGGAATATTGCATGACTGTTCGTCGAAAAGCCGTAGTAGTATGCGTATGAATAATACAAGTGTAACGATGAGTTAAGTGTTTAATATAAATATTAAATGCGTCCCAGCGAGCCTGAAAGCGAATAATCATTCGAAACTCATTGCATATTCTTACCGGGAATAGCAGCTTTACACGGAAGCATTGGAAAAGCCGTACAAACAAACATAACAAAAATATTTTTTAACTCTCTTAAAGGTACGAGTTGTTTTTTTCTCGATTATTTTTATTTTCAGGGGAAATAATAATTATTAAATTACACATCGGGGTTGCGTAAATCTATATAGGTTCGTTCGCCAATTCAGTATCAATATCTATGATGCTTTTTTAAATTAAATTCAGAAAATGTACATCATGTTTATACCGATCAACACAAAGAACCATTTAACATTTGTTAGCCCACTATCAATTATTTACATACATTTCTGATTTCATAGAAATTAGTCTCGCTGTGTCAGGATTTAAAATTTAGCATTTCGCAGTACATAGTGTTGCACGTTTGGGGTTTTATTCCATTTATACATTTTTCAATATTTTAAAAAATGATACAAAAATAAAATAAAATGTGTGACTTAAAAAAAATATAATATGTAAAAACAGTGATGTACAATACACGAGTACTTATAGCAGTGGTTTTCAAACAGGGTGCCGCGGCACACTGGTATGCCGTGAGTAACCACTAAGTGTGCCTCGGTCTTTCCATAAATTACCGATTGCATTGAATTTGTCATCTAAAAAAAAGGTCAGTGTGCCTTGAAAATTTTTTGAAGTGTACTGTGTGCCGTGTATAATAAAAGTTTGAAAATATATATAATATAATATAATATAATATATATTATCAGCTGCTCATAATGTGTGAGCTTAAACAAAGAAACTTTTTTTCACTGCTAATAATATTATTTTATATGTATAATAAGTATAATAACATATATTTTAAAGCATTTTAGCGATAATCTTATTGTATTAGTGTCACTGTTGATCGAAAGCCATACTTATATAAAATATTATTTGTATATATATTATAATATTATTATTGTTTCCTCGGCGTGTATGTGTCGTGCATCTCGTTTAATAGCCAATCGTTTTTTTTATTTTTCAGACTGGGCTTAATGAGCCACTTTGGAGCTCTAGCTGCAGCTGCTTCGGGCCGTAGTCCGTTCATGCTGTATCCGGGCGTGGGGATCGCGGGCACCACGGCCAGCGCGCTCGACAAACACTGGTACTCCGCGTGGTCGCAACCCCTGTCGGCCGCCATCAGCCCTACCGGTAAGTCACGGTGCCTTAAATTTTTTTGCGGAAAACCTAATAATATTGAACAACCTCCCCCCCCCCTCCCCCGTTGCATCGTCGCAAGGGGACCGAACTGCTTGCACGTTGCTTGACCCCAGTGCGGCATCGTTAATTGATACGATAATTTTCATGCTTGTAAGTACAATGTGTTAGATGATCCTTCAGGAGCCCGACACTGTTATTCTCTGTATGTACTATTGTGTAAGCGCAGACTCGAGGCTCCGTTAGGGTGCAACGAGACTCCTTTAAGGTGCACCATATTCACCACCAATTGACATTGCTAATAACGTGCTTCGATGGTCGATACAGACCGATTTTAAATTGCCGACAAAATACGTTTATTTAAACTTTTTAATTTATAACTCTGACAATTTTACATCAGCCCTTCCCACACTAATGATCATTCGAATATTGTTGCTGCATATACACACACGCACACACACATAGATAATTGTCTACAGTGAACTCTGTTATGTAATTTATAAAAAACACGAGCAAATGGTTTTTATGTTTTGTAAATTTAACCAATCTTTTTTGTTCTATTAAATTATAATTGTTTTTTCATCAAATGTGTTATCATTCATTTATTAGAGTAGTTACATTAAATGTAAATAATATAAATGTAACTTTCGTGTGACAATAATAGATTTGCAGAGATCACAACTATAATTGTATATACGTACTATAGTAATATTTTGTACTCATTAGTCATTTCCATATGTGTTTTTGGTATATTGTTTCGGTAAAACTTATACTTCTGCGAGAAGAAATCACATAAAAATATTATTTATTTTCATTACGAAGTTTACTCGAGATCACGATTATCCCACTTTGAAATTAATTTTTAATTTGATTTAAATATTTTGTTTTTTATTCTTCCACGTCTTTCTCTGAACCGATTCTATATTGACCAAACCAGAACTGCACCTAATACGTTTTACTGCATTTTAATCTAGTAAAACCGTTATAAAATGATCAAATGAACAAAATTCTGCTATAACGTCGTTGTGGAAATGTGGAGTAGGTATTTGTCTTTGCTTTATTGTTTAATGATTCTTGATTGTTTACATTTTAAAGATAAAAGTAGACATTTTAAAAAGTGAGTTGATTGATTTCATGTAAGCTGCATAACAAATTCAAATTTGTTTCGACTTTCTTATCGCATTACTATCTTCATGTACGACGGAAGGACAGAATATAGTCAAGAAAGTTTTCGTCAAAAAAAAAAAACTTTCTTCATCGTTTCCCGTAAATTATAATATAGACGGTACAGTACAGGACTGTCATCTGTCGTCGAGAATTGTGCAATAAATCTCTACATGATTTATTGGTGGCTTAATTAAAGTTTATAAGGTTAATAATAATATTATGGGTATGTTATTATATTATGAATAGTTTAAAATTCATTCATTTCAATAAATATCCATAACATTATATTATACCTACATAAATTAGACTTGAACGGGTCAGTGCAGTATTATAGGTCATTATTATAATATTAACTATAAATGTATTGTACTATTGATAATAACAAAGCTATACATCGGACCAAACCCAGATCAAAATAGAGAAATTCTCAAAATTTTAAAATTAACTATTCTCTTAGTCAAAATATAATTGTATTTGTTAAATTAATTTTTCATAATGTAAACTCTATAAAAATTGTAAACAGTATATCATAATATTGTAAATAGTATCTAAGGCCTTTAACCTTAAATCCTTGCTACCAAGTCATATTAACAGATTACTAAAAAAAAAAAAAAATCGGAAAATTCAATTAAACTAGTTAACTATATTATATAGCTAATTGATTGTTATTTCATCAACAATTTTTATCGTCATCGAATTGTATTTCCTCGTCATAGATTATGGACAGGCACGATACGAGAATGCATAATAATTGAAATTTATCAATTTCAAATATCATGAATAACAGTGTGCAGATGACGTTGTCCATTTATAATCGCAGGTACCTATATATATTACGCATAAATCATCGGTCGATCACAGTTTTTTCGGGATCAACGTCGCAAGGCAGTATAGCCAGTCGCAAATCACTCGATCAAGAGCATTCGAGTAAAATCATTCAAATACATATTTTTAAGTACCTACTCGAATCTGCACTCGAATACTTTGAAATGCGTCTTTTGCAATAGGTACTGGCCACGCCGTACACGTATATTACGTTATAAACGAATATTAATATGCAGATATTATTCGTCAATGTAACGTTGTGTCGTATACGCGTCGCCCACGACACCGCATCGTAAAAACGCGGTTGAAATCCGATATGTATCACAATAGGTCTGGAAAGGTATTGCCTGTATCGCGGCGATTCCGGCGGAGCGTCATTTATACGGATACGCGATCTACGAGCGCGTCCGGAGTAATAGCGGGACGCGATAATTTGGGTCGATTCGCGGGCACGCGACGTACTTGTCATGGGGGGGGGGGGGATGGTGGTGGTGTTCGAACGGCGGCGACACATTTAAGTGCTCGCTCACATGTATACATATATTAATGTAGCACACGAACACACACGATAATAATATTATATAACATATATATGATATATGCGTATGACCCAACCCGTGCAAACTATATACAGTACCTTTATGCGTATGGGTACTAGGCGTTATCGATGTAAACGGGCCGACGGATATTGTTTTCGATCGTCTCCCGCGACTAGGGGTGGGCGGGGTGCATTGCTCGTCGTGAAAATTGTATGCGGCGAGAGTTACGGATAGGTATTATAATATAATACTCGTCCGCCCGCCCGAGGAATTTTTTCGTTTCGCATATTGCGTACCGGTGATTCCATACCGATTACCCGGTTAATTCCGTGTTCGAACACACACACACACACACACACACACACACACACACACACACCCGACTACCCGAATGCCCACGGTTTAATCGGCACGCACCGCCACCGCACGCAATCGCTGTACACATACCCGTCCCGAGGTACATAATATATACATAGGACCTACGATATATGACGTACTGTGTTATGTACATAATATATGACAGAGCATAAATCGCACAGTGACGAAAGGCTTCGCTTTGCACGTGAATACCTTCAGAGGCTTCGTTTTAAACTGCTGCCGCCGCCGCCTCGTAGGGTATACGGCTTCGCGTTTTAGATCGGTCCCGGCGAGCCCCGCCGACACACACGAGCCACACAGCTATATTATATTATTATAATTTATTGTGAAATACTCGTCTGCGCAATAACAATTATATCCGAATGATATCATCGCATACAGGGTGTCCCGAGTATAGTGACGTACGACAACAGACATGGTACACGATTGCAGATGGCTCGGAATAATTCGAATTACTGCAGATATTAACGGAATGTTTTTAGTAAAAAAAAAATAAATCACTAGTATAAAACCCGATGGCCGCGGTCGCTTTGAAAATGTCAATAAGAATCGCTTCACTTTTATACCGTATATAATATAATATAGCTGCACAAGGGATGTTGTGTTATTATTATATTATTGGGTAGAAACCACTGCTGAACGTCCGCCATTTTCGTGACGTCGCGAATAATCCGATCAGTCTGTACATATTCACGGCCATGTGTATGTCTACGTATAATATACAGGTAATCGACTAGACGCACTATAGAACCAACGTAATATTATTATTATTGAGTATAAAATCAACAGATTATCGATCGCACCCTGTACCTACATATATATATATATGTGTGTTCATAATAATACAAAAATATACACATATCGTACATATTGTTGTGCGTATTATATTCTATTGTTTCGACATGACGTGACACAATACTAGACCGTAGTATCTTACCCCCTCGTCGCACACACACGCCCACCCCGTATTATTATTACCGTTTCATTAGCCTAATCGACTTGTATCTGCGACACTCGATATTTAAACGTCCGTAATCGGCCGTATGCGCTCGTCCCGGCATTACGCAAATTATGTATCGTACGCATCGCATTTATGATTACAATAGACACAAAATAATATTATAATATTATATTTGTCGCATTTGTATTTGGATATTATAATTATTACATGACGTGTATACATCGGGCGTCTATATTGACGCGGAAGTGCGCATCCGGTTCGAGGCGAACGATAATTGTAACGATGACCTACTATACACGCGATGATATATGTCATATGAAACGGTCGTGGATATATTAATATAATATTGTTTTACGTATACATAGGTATTATATTATTATACAGTATAGCACATAATAATAAAAAACATTGGTGCGTACCCGCGAATGAGGACTCATAAATACGGCTTACATGTACGTATTTTTGGCGCTCGTTGTGTAGGTGCAGCGTTTTATTATTTAAAAATATATTTATCGTAGTCGATTTGGGTATCGATTTGTCATTGTCACACTGTAGGTACCTAAAGGCTATAATGGCGGCAATTATTAACCAGGTACATGAAACGGTATATTCAAAAGCATCGGCCATCGGTATATAGGTACAATTTTATCATTTATCGACAATTATTTTAGAACCTTTGGTTCCGTTGCATTTTTAGATAGCTTTTTTAGTTATTAGGTCATAGGTAAGATTAAAATGTCGGAAACCTAACGTAACCTAAGCAGGGCTTAAAACCGTTCTTAATAAAGTCGGTAATCGGCTCCGATAGGAGCCGAAAATTTTTGAAAACCGGTAACCGGTTATCGGTTTACTTTGATATTTTGGTAACAGGTAACCGTTTCTTTAAAGATATTTCAAACACTATGATAACCGTTAATCGTTTAAAAACCGTTGATAAGGTTTTTTGGTAATCGGTTACCGGTTAAAACCGGTTTTTAAAAATCATTTTTTAAAATTTTTCAATCATATTTTTAAAACAATTTTTTTAGGCCATTCGTGGGTACTATTATTATTACAAAATCAAAAACTTAATATGCTTTAATTTAGTAAATTTCCTTCAATTTAAATATTTATTTTTTAACTGC